AGCAAAGTGGTCTGGTTTGCCACATTTGAAGCAGCCATCTTTAGGCTCTTCCTTCCTTTGCTCTTCAACCCTCTGCAAGGGCTTCTGTTCCTTCTCTCTTTTCTCATATCTCTCTCCCTTTGTAAAGTTTCTTCGATTGAAACTTTTAAACTCTTTCCTCTCTCCACCCTTCTTGAACTCTCTAGTGATCAAAGCAAGAGTTTTCATCATCTCCTTCATGGAGACTTCTTCCTCAGAGCTGTCATCATTCTCTGCAATCAAAACTTTCTTCTTCTTCTTCTTCTCCTTCTCTTCCTTCTGTGCCTCCTTTCCCTTCCCAGAGCATTTGTCCTCTGCAACTAGAGCCAGAGGGCCACCGTAGTTCTTCTTAATCGGCAGAACTTGTGGCTCTTAGCTCTTAAGAGAGCCAAACAAGTCTGCTAGAGTCCACAATTCTAAGTCTAGGGTGGCTTTCATGGACATTGTGAGATGCATCCATTCAACTCCAAGGCTTTTCAAGAATATATAGTTATTCTCTTCTGCCGTTCTCGTGACACCATACCTCTTGCAGTTGCTGATTAACGTGTTCAGTCTTGAGTATGTGTCCGACAGCGACTCGCCGTCTTTTGCTTTGAAGCTATGATACTCATCGATGCAGATTGATCGATTGTTTTTAAGCGTTTTCCTTCCTCTTTCGATTTGCTTCTCCAGTTCTGCACAGATGTCCATGGACAGTTGACAATGATCAGTGCACTTGAAGATTTCATTAGGAATAGCCATAATCAACAATCGTTTACATTTGCTTCCTAACTCAACCATGATCTTGTCCTCATCGCTCCAGTTCACCTTTGGACGTGGTTCATAGTGCTCGGGAATTTCTGGTGTTGTTCCAGTTGCTGGTACTCTAGGAATTAAATTCATGGGAACATAGGGAGGATTATACATAAATTCACAAATCCGTGGATGAATGCCTTCCAGAAAATTTACCATTCTAACTTTCCACGGTGGGTACTCCTCATGTATGAGCGTGGGAGGTTTCAATTGTGAACCAGTGCTCATAAAGGAAGTATTGGCTGGATTCGAAATTAGTAGAAGAAGAAAAATAGGAATAAGAAGAGAACAAATGAAATAGTGAAAAACATGGTTACCTGAAGAAGA